CATTCTGGTATGGGTACGTGGGAAACATGCTTGCATTGGTTGGGAGAGCGGACTAGAGGCCGGGAATGCCTCACCCGACATGTCCTCAGGTAACGCCGCACAGTGTGTGGAACACGGGCTAGACCTGAACTCTGTCCTCTAACGGCTAGCGATTGACCGGCTGTGAGAATGAGGACACATCCCTTTCTCTCTCGCCGTTTCCATTTCTTTGGCTGCAAAGATAGAGAATCATTTTCATTCAGAGTTGAGAAAAAACCAACTCCCTGCCATGGAGTCGGTGTCGACTCACAGCGACCCTACAGGGCAGGGTAGAAGTGCCCCTGCGAGTTTCCCAGACCAGAACGAGTAGAAAGCCCTGTCTTTTTCCCAAGGAGTGGCTAGTGGTTTGGAACTGCTGACCATGCGGATCGCAGCCCAATGTCTAACCATGATACCACCAAGGTTGAGAAAAGGATGGGAAAAATTAAAATACACAGAGATCACCCAACGTAGTGCGTGCACACTCCCTAAACAGCGAACTGCAAGGTTGTAGTCTATTCCAGAGGAGCCTCGGAAGAAAGGTCTGGAGATCTACTTCTGAAAGGACCCACCGTAAGACCTGGCGAGGACAGCTTTCCACGATGGCGCACACACACAGGGCTGACCCGACAGCTGCTGGTTAGAACGGTGAGGTCAGCACACGCAGCTTACTATGGGCCTGAGGCAGGCAGGCCGGAGTGCTGTGCCCGTCTGGTATCCATCATGCTGTGGGTTCGGCCAGGTCACATGTCCAGGGGTCACCTTCTTCCTTGCGCCGAGGGTGAAACGGAGGCACCCCACTGTGATAAACAGTGAGCTGAAGGGAAAAATGGAATCCAGCATCTTGCGCTGAGGATGTCAAAACCCAGGGCCTCATCCCTCCCTCTCCCGAAGGTTTAATTAGAGCCTGTTAAGCTATTTCCGATCCTCAGATGAAAGGTGTGCTCACCTTATTACAGCGCTAACGAAGTCACTCGGGGGCTGCTCACATCTCTGATCTTTAGACCAAGTTAAATGAAGGGAATTAAGGGCCCTCTAATAGCGTGCTTCTTTTTTTCCTGCCTCGTTCCTGACGGCAAAATCAGGAAAAGGAGCCGGTGCTAATCCAGTCCTCCTCGAGGTGTCATCTGGGGGTGGGGAGGGAGAGATGGTGGGAGGAGGGTGCTCTCCCATGGGAGAGATGGAGGGAAGGGACAAGGGGACGTGCCAGCCACACTATCCATTTCCGAACACGGGCACCGGTGGAACATGCCCCACACAGAAGACCATAGCCCCTTGCTGTCAGAGTCAGGACAATGGCCCACAGGCTCTCTGAGGCTGCACTTCTTTACAGAAACAGACTGCCACAGCTTTGTCCCACAGAGCAGCTTGATGGGTTGGAACCCCCAAACTACTGGTTCGCAGCTGACTGCTTGACAGCACCACCACCAGAGCTCCTCATAGAATATCCCAGGGGACATTTCCCTCAAACAGGCTCCCATAGGAAGTTCCACAGAGTCCCAGAATGGAAAACCCCTCTCCACACAATCTAAACAGTAATTTCCATACCACCCCCCAAAGGTAAAAAATAACCCTGGAATTCTGAAAGACTATTTTTAAAAGTGGCAATAATCCTTTAATCAGCCACCAGCAGGGACTATGGCATTTGGTTCAGACATTTTACCAATTACAACCCACTGGGCCTCGGCATGGTGCTTTCTAAATAATCAAAGTCGGCTCTTAATAGTCACTCACCCAGGCAGAAGGAGCGAGCACGAGACCCAGAGCAAAGGCCAAGGCTCCGGAGTGCCCAGACCAGCGTCACCAGGAACTCGGGCATCTGGTTTGCAGCATGGTCAGCGGAGCAACCGGCCTGGGGGAGGCCTTTTGACTTGGGGGCTTAGGGATTCCAGGCCTAAGAGGAAAAGCCCTAGGGTGGGGGCTCAAGAGCATGGGTTTCAAATCAGACAAACTTGAAACGCGCATCCAGCTCTGTGCCAAGTCCTTGCTAACAGAGGGGCTTTGGCCACCTTCCTCACTCTCCTCAAGCTCCAGTGTCCCTACCCGTGGAAGGAGTGCTTACGGTGTCTGGCTTGCAGGGTTGTCCCGAGGATGGGAAGTGATCTGGGCAAAGTGGCTGTGCGGTGCCTGCAACGTCAGAGGCACCCGCCTCGCGAGATGTTATTCTCCTGGCTGCACCATCTCCCCTCCCCTACCAGGACCGCTTTGAGAGAATGTTAGAGAGGGGCAAGCACAGTCCTCTCACCCTGCAGGAGAAGTTCAATTATCACTCCCTGTGGGAAACAGAAAGATCTCTCCCAAGTTGTCTCCCCCAAATATATGCCAAACTTAGCTGCTTGCTACACGTGGTAAATGACCATACACTTGGAGGTCAACAGAAGTAGGTCAGGGGTTATTCTCCCTAAGGGTTATTAGCCATCCAGAGCAAGCAGACATCACTGTTTATCCCACAATAAGTAGGGCCCACTCCCTTCTGATAAGGATAGTACTAAATTGTTTCCCTGAAGGACAGCCCAGGGAGGTCAAGCCCACTCAAGAGTGACCAAGATTAGGCCGCCATTATGAATCTAGGGTCCGCCCATCTTGTCACATGTGTACCTTTAGTTCCACCCCTTCCTATCATGTGTACACCCCTAGCTCATCCTCTTCCTGTTACGTTTATGCCCATGGTATATCCCCCTCCTATTGCTTGTAATGCCTATGGTACAACCCCGTCCTGTGACGTATGTCTTTACCTGTAATTAGGAATGTACACCCCAAAAGAGATATAAGCCTTGGTTAGCAATACATCGCTCTTTCCTGCCCTCTCTCTCTCTCCTGTCCTCTCTCTCCTCCCCTGTACCACTGAGGGGAACTGAGGTGAGCATGCTACCATGAAATGGGTCTGACGCCATTATTTCAATCTCTCTTCTATCGCTCTTATTCTCTATGATTTTAATATAATCTTTACTTATTTTCGCTGTACACTTGTGCCTACCGCATGCGTGATGATTTGTTAGGGGCCGGTTACCTCGACAACTCCCCACAACATTTCTTCATTCTGCGCTAAGCCGGGGAAGGACACCTGTCCAGAGGCAACGACGGGGCTGGTGATGGGGACCTGCACAGCAAAGCTCCACCTGGGTCCACAGTGCATTTGGCAGTTTCCACTCGGGACTTACGGAGCCAGAACCAGAATGGAAAGCAGAAGGGGCCCCAGATTTGTTGAAGAAAAAATGGATAATAAGGAAAGTTATTAACTTTAGAAGTCCAGTCACAAGTGTGTGTCCCTAATGGTAACTGGAGGTAAAAAATGTTGTCCCCTTTAATGGCCAGTTCTGCAGCAGGAGTGCGTTCAATATCCAGCAGAGGGAGGGGGCTGGGGGGCGCAAGGAGAACGTCCAAGCAAAGCAGCTGCAGTTCCCTGACACGCGTTGGACAGTCGCCGGCAGGAGGGTCAGCTCTGGCATGGGGGTGCTAGACAGGAGGGTCAGCTCTGGCGTGGGGGTGCTATGAGTCAGAGTGGACTTGATGGCGACCTGGCCAGTGCTCAAAAGACCAAGCAGCCATCACGTTGTGAGCTGTCCCAGCCAGGCTCCTCACAGGTTTCTAAGACTCTCTGCTGTTACCCGTGGTCTTCCAAGGGGCGTGCCCTCAGCTCACAGCCCCACACAATCGCTGTCTCCCCAGGAAGAACACCGCCGGACCTCTTGATAATGGCTGGACGGAAGCCTCCATCCCCGCGGGGCTCCATGAAATCGTCTTGAGAGTCTGATGAATCGGGTGGTTCCTCGACCCTAGCCTAGGCTTCCCCAACTGGGTTCCTCTGGGGCGGCGTCTAAAAAAATAATTTGTCTGTCTAACAAATTACCAAGGCGATTCAGAGATATAATTTGCCATATTGGTTACTTGGACTTTGGCCTTCACCTTGGACTTAAGAGTGGGTTCCCAACCTGTGCTACCATGACTAATGGTTCAAGGAGACGTCAGTCAATCTCTCTGAGTGTCCGTTTCTTCACTTGTGAAATGGGAATTCATAAAAACATACCTATGTTGTAAGATTACACGAGAAAATATTGATGATGCCTTGATGCATGGTCTGTAGCCCAGAGTAAAGGCTTAATCGATGGGAGCAATGAGGAGGATGCTGATTCTTAAGACTCTCCCAGGAAAAGGCAGAAATGGGACAACTCCCTTCAGTGGTCTGCTCCCTTGTCCAGCTGCCCCGTAGTCAGCAAGCCCTTCAGTGTGTCTGCATCCTGATGCCATCCGCACCTGTGTCCTCCTTCTCAGCCTTCCCTGGGGTTGAGGGGAAGGCTGGAGTAAGAATCCGGATGTGATTATTAGGCTGACGGGGCATGCCAAGATCTTCAAAGAAGAATCAGAACCCTTGTTGCCTCTGACGGAAGAGCAATGGAGGGGGGCGAATACGAAGGTTAACGGGGAAGAGGCAGAAAAGGAGCCAGAGCGGACAGGAACGATGAGAGACAAAGCACCCTGAGAGGCCAGGGAGTGGCTGATAGCAGACAGTGGGGGAGGGGCAGCTGGCATGGTGCTGCGGGTGGGTCCCAGAGGAAATGGCAGGAAAGAACTGGGATAGCTTCAGTTCTAAAGGAGTCCTCAGCCCACAGGAGGTACAATCTGTTCCTTACCCGTGGGCGCCTTGGGTCCTAACACTCGTATCAGCATTAAGGAAAGATTTAGGAAGTAGAGTCATCGAACATTGTGGACATTGTGGCCTGGAAGTCCTCCTTTACAGGACACGCCACCCCCTCTTCTCCCGCCAAATGCAGGCTGCCTTCCTCTTGGCGTTCTGCTCAGTGGGCAGTTCCTGACTCGTACTGGCACATCCTGGTGGCAGAACGGGAGGCTGTCCGGTGCCAGGTGTCTGCTATTGCAGGATGCAAGCTATTGCTCTTGGGGATAACTGAGAGTAGGTGGCCATCCTGAACTCTCAGGAGTCAGAGAAATGGAGCAAAGAGGCAGCAGCACAGTTCACTTACCTGCCGGAAACCCTTCTTCGTGAACTGCAAGATTTTCAAGGCATAGTTGGCCCGCTGGCCTTTGCTGTTGAATTCAATGTGGCCGGTGAGACCTTCCAATTCTACCTGTCCAAGAGAGAGTGAGTTACAGCACCAAACTGACCCTGCATTTTCCCTGACCCCAGGTCAGCATTCCACCACACACACAATTTAGGGAGACCCAGACAAAGAGCAGCTGGCAAGCTCCACCTCCAGTCATGCCCAGCCCCAGCATCTTCAGACCGCAGACTACTCTGGAGCCAATTTGGACATGGCTGGGGCTGGAGGAGGAGACGGGTGCAGCCACACCCAGTGGTGCCACGCCTGCTCCGTAAACCAAGAAAATGCCATGCTTCTAGATTGAACTGATTGCTCTGTGCTCATGCCCCAGGCCTGTGGGAGATGCTATTAACAGTATTAATTCTCTTTGGGAAGCTGCCAAACACCCTCCCAGCAAGAAGTCAGGAGGACCCTAGATCTCCCAAATCAAAGACAGTTTCTCCACCAGACTTCCCAGGCAGGAAACATCTTCCTACTGGTTGTATTTGCAAGATCAGCCCACCCCAGGAAGCGTTATTGGGGAGAAGAGCCCTGGGGAAGTCCAGCGAGCCAGCAAGCTTTTTGTGGCAACATTGCCCTTCCCCAGCTCTGCTGGGCCACCTCCGGAAGGTAAGGCTTAGTTGTCAAAGGCTCATGGGTCATTGCCTTGAAGACAAACGTGCCAGGTATTCTCTGTGTTTTCTGGGGCATAAGACCAAAAAAGTGACCCCGGCCCCCCTGAAGTGCAGCCGCACTGAGCTGCTCTGTGCTCTGGGGCTGTGCGGGAACAAGGAGGCAGGGGAGAGGCACTTTTGCTTCTTGAACAGACTGGCCGGCAAGCTGGCCAGCCCAGGGCTGCAGGGCCCTCAGCTGCTCCTCACCATTCGCAGGTAGTTCATGAGGCTGGTGCCGTGCTGCCAGATCTGCGCCGAACCGCAGGACAGGGGCTTCACGCCGATCTCCTGGCTCCGGTTCAACTCCTGCACAGCAGTCACCACAGCGTAGACGGCGTCAAAGAGGAGAGCGGAGGAGAGCTGGTGGCCGGAGGTGGTGCGGGAGAGAAGTGGTCCAAAGAGAGGAAAGGACAAGTGTGAAAGGAGGGAAGGAACGGAAGGGGGAGGCAGAAAATCAGGTGGGACAGTTGAAGCAGGAGGAAACAAAGGAAAGCACAAGAGGGTGGACATGGGGAGTGTCCTTGTTGCCCGGGGCCCATGTCACTGGATGAAGGATCCAAGCCGTGGCCCAAGAAAGACACTTTGGCAAGGTCTTCTCTCCAATCCGAATGTCAACCTGTCTGTCTGTCTGTCTGTCTGGGCCCCAAATGGCTTCAAGGGTGTCCCTTTCTCTCTTTGTTCCAGGAAGAAAAAAGTGCAACGTCCGCGGTTCTGAGAAACCTCCAATAAGGGGAGAAGCTCTTTCCTATCTGGGGCTGAGGTAAGAGGCAGGGCTTGTCTGCTCAGGGGTGCCTACTGCCTGAGTCTGAAGGTCAACTTCTCCCAGAAGACGACTATGGTACTCGCTCTTCCTAGATGCACTTGTGATGTAGTCTTCCATTTGATGGGCTTCTAAGAGCCTCGAGTAACTCGGAGGGCACAGCCCAGTGAGACCCTGTTCCTTTGTAACTGCTAGGGTGGGCGAGTTGGGAGCAGAGACACGGAAAGCAACCTGGAGAACGTGAGTTTGGTGGAACGGACTCGCACAGGTGTGTGGGGTTCCTTATCTGTGGGGTGATCCCAAGAAAAGCAACAACAACAACAAAAATGCTGTGTGGCTGAGCACGGAAGGTTTGGGCTAGGTAAGTTGTTGGCTGTGGGCATGGGAAGTCACTGGGGAAGCAAGGCATTCTAGAAGGTAGGGCCATATGAAAGATCCCGGAGGAAGTATGGAACCACTTGGATGAAGGGGGCAGGGGAGAAAGCAATAAATCAGAAATGTATGCAGCAAGGCACACTGTGGTGGGCCTTAAAGCCAGGCAAAGAGGACACTGCAGCGGTTTGTCTATATTTTCATCACACCATTACATGATAAGGGCACCCTGGTGGTACAGTGGTTAAAACACTGGGCTGCAGGAGGGAACGGGGGCATCTGAGCTTACATTGTGAACACCTGTGGGTGACAGTGGATGCCCCACACCCACCTGCAGGGTTTCCACATGGATCATGCCTCCAGTGAGCACCCTCCCGGGTGGCGGGCACCCTGCTATCAATGGAGAGCACCATAAAGTCGACTGTGGCACACGTGGCTAGGTTAAGATGTGATACTTCATCATTTGATCTCCCTTTTGACTCATTTTACATTTGTTTCACTTTTTAATATATTCTGCTTTCTTTTCAACAGGTTTTTCTGTTTTGTCTAGCCATCATTTCCCGCCCCCCCCCTTATTTGTTTGCTTCCATTTGTGTTGTATATGATTTTCTGTATATGAAATCCAGGATAGATAAATCCAGGGAGATGGTAACTAGATTAATAATTACCTAGGAGCTAGGGGGAAGGAAGGGAGGAGAGGAGAGGAAGAGGGAACTGATCTCAATGATCGATACATAACCACTCCCCC